CCACCCCCGCCCTCGGCAACATGTCATCAACCGAGTTCATGAAAGTCCCGTCCAACTACTCACGCTTCGCTGACGTTGCCAGACAGCCGCTCAATCGAGCGCCCCGTTGTTGCTGTTCGCCCACTGCTGTCTCCCCCGGGCACGCTTATTCCCCGTCCCCTGTGTGAGAGCATGTCTCCGCTCGAGACAAACATCCGGCCGGCACTCTACGCTACTCACTCACTCACTCACTCGCATTTTTGGAGCAAAAAATATTAGGAGCAAGCCGTCCCAATCGCGATACCAGGGCACCCGCAGAATCATTTCGCCCCCCGCCCGCCTACCGAAAGAGACACAATCCCTCCAGCCCCCCCCCCGCACTCCCCGGCGAATGTCTCTCTCACTCACGCCACTCGTCCCCACCACTTACGCTCCATCGACATCCTTCCCACCCCATTTTCAAACGCCGTTGAAACGCCGTCACCCCCAACAAAAGAGGATAGCGTGCGCGGGGGGGGGAGGGATCATCTCCACCGTAGCCCCCCCATCTCCACACTGAAACGCCTTCACCTCCAACGAGAGGATATCGCGCGCGGGCGGGGCATCGTCTCGTCCATACTCTCCCCCCCCCAAAAAAAAAAAATAATAAATTACCAAAAAAATCCCAACTCCTTCCATCATCACCGTCGCTGGTAGGACGACGAAGACACGGGTGAATAGGCCGACCTTGTGGACGAGCTCGTTCCTTCCTTGTGGGCGAAGATCGACACCACAGGGTCAGAGGCGCCGGCCGCCAGCAAGAGCTTGTTCGGGTGGAACGCCAACGCGGTCACGCATCCCAATCGCTGGTCGAAGAACCCGGTGTGCTCCTTGATTCGGGACAAGAGGTCGCCACGCGGAGTGATGATCTGCGGAGACCGGAGTTGGGGGAGGGGACACCGTGTTCCTCGTCAGGACGGGATTGGGCGTGCCTTGCGGTGCTTGATACATCGACGGCGAGTGGCACCATGTAGAAGAGGTTGCGTAACACTGCTGTGGAAAAATTGAGGTCGGACGAAGCCAAATGGCACGCACCGCCTGGGGAAACGCCCCGAAAACGAAGAAATGACCACCAGCCGATCATTTGTCTCTGTCCCACAAAATGTCCTACAAAATCGACATGTGACAGATGGGAGGATGGGTATCTACCCGGTTCTACAAAAAAATTACCCCACGCATGGGTCCGGCTCCGGTTTCTCTCCCACTCACCGACAAGGCTTAAACCAATCCCCTTCAACTGTGGCTATATCTCGAATGGATATCTGTGAACGTAAGCACATTTTTTGCAACTCACGTTGATGAACTGCTTGTGGCTCCCGGTCGCCAGAACGGGCACCCTCGGGTGCATGGTGATGCAGGTCATCGCCGTCTGCTGCGCCTTGCAGTGGTAGGGCATGAACTTGTCGTCGGACGCCTTGCGGATGTCCTGCGTCATGATCGAGCCGTTCGAGTAACCCGTCAGGATGTCGTGGCCGGTACCCTCCTGTTGGTCCGTCACAAGTGGGGGTACAAAGGGGGG